CGAGACATGCACTACCTCTCAGAATTGCTTCGCACACCAGGTAATTCCTTCGAGCCTACCAGGGATCGAACCTGGAATCTCCGGTTCCGTAGACCGGCGCTTTATCCATTAAGCCATAGGCCCTCCACTTCGCAGGTGTACCACTAAGGCAGAATTACACAACAGGATGTTTGGAGCTTGTGTCCTGACACACCATATTCGCATTGTAGCGGTATTGTAGTGGTATTGTTGTAGTATTGCCGTAGTATCGAAGTAGTATCGAAGTAGTATCGTAATAGTATTGTAGTAGTATTGTAGTAGTATTGTAGTAGTATTGTAGTAGTATTGTAGTAGTATTGTAGTAGTATTGTAGTAGTATTGTAGTAGTATTGTAGTAGTATTGTAGTAGTATTGTAGTAGTATTCTAGTAGTATTCTAGTAGAATTCTAGTAGTATTCTAGTAGTATTCTAGTAGTATTCTAGTAGTATTCTAGTAGTATTCTAGTAGTATTCTAGTAGTATAAGAGTATGAGTAGTATTAGAATTAGAATTATTATTAGAAGCAGTAGTTGTAGTATAGGATTATTATTATTATTATTATTATGTAGTAGTAGTAGTAGTAGTAGTAGTAGTAGTAGTAGTAGTAGTAGTAGTAGTAGTAGTAGTAGTAGTAGTAGTAGTAGTAGTAGTAGTAGTAGTAGTAGTAGTAGTAGTAGTAGAGGTTGCATTTCTTGTTGTAATAGCAGTATAGAAGTAGTAGTATGTAATAGTACATTCATAGGGCAAATCTAAAGCCACTGCTTGTTATGCGCTTAAGTGGAAAAGTAGCCCAAGCGAGCTGTCCCATTCCTTGCTATCACCTCCCGCAAGTTCGTGTGTAACCACTAGGGTACATAGGGCTTATTGGAGTACGCTTTTCGTTAGCGTGGAGCTCCTTTCATCAGCACCGTTTTACTCATCCTATAAGCTATGTTTTGTACGGCTACATATAACGCAAGTTGTACTACATGTGTACGGCAATGAGGGCCTATGGCTTAATGGATAAAGCGCCGGTCTACGGAACCGGAGATTCCAGGTTCGATTCCTGGTAGGCTCGGAAGTATCGCAGATACGGCTGTGCAGTCGCTCGAATGTGCAAATCATGCAGAAGCGTACCCTTGGGAAAAGATGTTATCTGCGGAATTGAAATGTTAATGTATGGTGTTATGGTACAGCGGACAGGATGGTCAATCTCATCAGGATGATCATCATCCACATGTATAACTTCGTGTATCGCAAAGACTGAAGATTTTATGGGAATCGACAAAGGAGTTCGGTGACGGAATCCATGTTGTAACCCTTTCCTTCATATAACGAGATAGTTCAGTGAGCTTCTTGCAGCGGCAGTAGTATACAGCGGCAGTAGTATACTAGTAGCAGCAGCAGCAGCAGCAGCAGCAGCAGCAGCAACAGCTGCAGCAGCAACAGCAACTCACACGAGTGATCAGGAAAGGCACAGCCCGCCTACGTGAGGTGGCGGTGCATGTGCTCGAGCTCCACATGTTAAGCCACATCTATCTTCAAATGTACCCCGATGGAACACTGGCAGGTTTGATGTGAAAGTGGTAAGGGCCTGGTGCAGGGGTGAAAATGTAGTATTATATATGGTTGTCCG